CTTAGGACCGCAAGGGGCTCATGTACGAACAAGTGAAAATTTTGGCGCAAAAATCACTAACCCGAGAACGGGAAAAGCTAGAAAGCTGAAACTTTAAGAGGATGTTCCCTACTCATGTAGGAGCAAATCTGGTGTTTGAAAGTACCCGGGGCCCACGTACGGGCATGTGAAAGTTTTGGGGCGCAAATTACTAACCCGGGAACGTGAAAAGTTAGAAAGCTGAAATTTTACGGGAATTTTCCCTACTCATGTGCAACCAAAATCAGTTGTTTAGAGGCGCCCGAGACCCACGTACGCTACATGTGAAAGTTTTGGCGCGGAAATTACTAAGCCGGGAACGGGAAAAGCTAGAAAGCTGAAACTTTCGGGGAATGTTTCCTACTCATATACGTCCAAAATCAAGTGTTCAGAAGCGCCCTGGGCCCACGTATATGCACGTAGAAATTTTGGCACGAAAATCACTAACCCGGGAACGAAAAAAGCTAGAAAGCTGAAAGTTTCGGAGAATGTTTCCTACTCATGTGTTACCAAAAGATTTTAAATTTAACTCCTCCAGTGCGGCCTTTTTTGCGGACCTGCAACTTTCCATTTCTCGGGTTACTGAAGTCGACATCTACAAGTGACATACCACACACGGTTGCACAATTAACTTCCCGAGCTTCGAGGGCCAGTATGTCACAGGGATAGCTACTGTGATTCCTTGCGATCTTGCTACAGCACGAAAAGTGCAAAAATGCATAATTGCACCGGCCCGCCTGGTGCGTTACATCTTAGGTTCAGATTTGTTGCTATCTAACCACTTTCAAATGCTTCTGAAGCAGGGTTGCTAACTAAGTGATTGCTCAGACAGTGTGTTCGGATGTTTTAAAGAGCGACAATTCTCATAACGCTTCTGTAGAATAAAATTTTTTTGTGTGCTCTAAATACAATCATCAAAAGAAAACCCTATTAGATTTTGTTCCATAAATTCAAAATGTTTGCATTTTATAAGAAAAACAGAGGTAGTGGCCTGTATACGAGCGGAAGGCTACTTTTGCGGGGTAATATTCTTTTCAGTTTGCCATAAAATAACCAGTCTCAAACGATCTCAACTTTGACCGATATCAACTTATTCACAATGCGGTTGTCTATTTTTTTTTTCAAAATCTCATTCAGTCCAGTCTTTGTTTCTCACTGCGCTATTATCCACAAATTTCAGGTATTAAAATCGTTGGATCTGAATCGTTTGGCACAACTCTACGGCGATATTAATGATGTTGACCTGTTTGTGCTTGGTCTTGCTGAGAAGCCACAAATTGGGGCACTTGTCGGGCCCACATTTGCTTGCATTATTGGTAAACAATTCCAGAAGGTAAGGGGAAATTTGTTCCACTCGGAAAAACCAAAAGGCAAAATCGCAATCTCCAGGCTTACCTATAACAATTCGATCCCGATTTATGCGAAAAAAACTGCAGTCAAGTTAGTATCAGAATGGGTGACTGCACGTTAGTGCCACTGCTGTTTGGGCTGTCTTCACATGCATTTGAATCGCACACTTCATTCATTTCAGTTCACCCTATCAGGCAAGTCATAAAATCAGTACGCGGTCATCCAAATTGATTGCTTCTACCTCATTCGCTAAGCATTTACACGCATTTGTCTAGCTAATGCGTCTTTTTTATGAGCAGTACACCTGCCTATGCTACCATACTGTTTTTAACAACATGAAAGATTTTTTCATTTTCTTGCATTTTTAAAGGCCCGTAGGGGAGATCGGTTTTGGTACGAAAACTTTTTCGCTCCATCAGCGTTCACCCTCGATCAGTTGGCTGAAATTCGCAAAACAACTCTTGCGCGTATCATCTGCGACAATACAGATGGCATTGAGAAGATTCAGCAAAATGTCTTTGCATTGGCCGATATTTATGGGTGACTTTTTCTTTTTCATCACAACCAAAAGGAATTTAAAGGTAGGCAGATATATAGTAGAGTGATGCAGGATGAGGGATGGCACTGTAGTGCAAAAAAGTGTGGTGAAAATTGCGACAATTTGTTGGAATTCAGCCCAGAACTCGTACGTGAACTAAGAATTTTCTGCAGAAATTTTCTGTTTCACGGTGAATGACCATTTCACAATCACCAGTTTTTTTTATAGCTGGCTCACTCTGTGATTTTAACTAAATAGTATTTCAGTCTGTTCAAAGCTAAGCGAGAACAATGTACAAATCAAGAGACTGCTGTAGAAAAGCTTATTAAATACCGTCATTACTAACGAGATGGGCTTGGCAGTAAGGAATACAATCCCACTAACCGTCATAAAAATGGACTTTGCAACAGCTTTTTCTTATTCTAATATGATTGTAGGAGGACAATTAGCTACCCTGAAAAATTCAGTCTCATTCTATGGCAGCAGCAGAAATAGCAAATAGAGCGGAGATAGATAAGGGAAAAAAAGGATAAAAAGTGCGGATATTCATTAACCGTTATCTTACCTAAGTACAGAAGTAAACACAGGGATGCACTGCACAAGAAATAAGTTTATTTCTGGTAATAATGCTGTCCACATACAATTGACCAAATTCGGATCTTTCAAGGAAAAATTAAGCAGCAATTGTTACACTCAAGCAGGTTAGTATATCTTCACTGAAAAGCAGCATGAATTTATGCAGGAATTGTCCGATGAGCTGTAATTCGACGACTATTGATAGAGCTGATTTGGCTCATTGGACTGATCAGGAGCCGAGACTCAAATTGCCCATTACAAAGGCCACCCTCGAAAAAGCAATACGACTCGGCGCTGAACACGCTAAACGTCTGAATGAAGCCGAGGCTGCGCGCATTCGAGGGCAAGGTACGTTCTTCTGAGCAGCTCTTTTAAAAGCAAATAAAGATGTCCCCAGTCCGAATTTCAATGCTTTTTTTTCTGCGGAAATTTCAGGAAACACTGACCTTTCACTTGTGTTTTAGTCCTGAAATTTGCACTTTGTTCTAGGGAGCATTGGTGATGTGAGCAGGAACCGGAATTCGGCAATTTTTGCGCATTCGGATCTAATGGCACCAAAAAAAGAATCGCTACAGATATCACATCGTGCAGCAGTGCTCCGAGAGACGACCCGAGTTTTACTGGAAGGGTAAGTGTATTCAGTTACTTATTTTGAAAAATTCAGGAAAACATGCTGACTGCCGACATTATTTTTCTACACGAGTGTATCAGCTGCAGAGGGCCAGCCGAAGAGTGGTCAAAGAAGATGGGTGGGGGAGGTTAAAGGAAAGGCAAAAGGAGAGGAAAGGTACAAGCCTGTTTTACTTTTCAGGGAGTACATGGTGTATATCTCAACTTTTTACAAAAACCTGTTGGTAATTTAGCTTTT